TTGATAGTTTCATATCTTAGAGAGACTTTATTCACAACTTCTGAAATTTTTTATGGAAACTAGTCTAGCTGAGACCTTTATGCAGGCAAACTTTCAGGTCAAAATTCGAAAGTATAGCTTTGCTGCCAATGTAGGCGTACAATAGAGAAAATTCACTAAGAGCTCGATATCTCCTCAGAAACAAGCCAGAAACCCGAACTTTTTTTACTATAGACGTAGCTCACTATGGGCTACAAGAGGCGCGAGACCTCGACTGAAAAGCGCTCCGACACCTGGGAAGGTTCCCTTGTTAGTTCTAACCATTTCGGTCCATCACATATATTGTTAATAATGATTGAATATTTAATGGGGAAAACCACTTCAGCTGTTTGATTAATATTCAATCGAACATGTTGAAAACCAAATAATTTTTTAATTAGTAGTGTTTGATCATTTAAGGATCTCTTTGGTAGTATAACAAATGTAAGATCATCACTTGTCATATTACCTATATTTGTTGCATTAACACGATATAAATGAATGCAAACTTTTCTTCGTTATAATTGTTTTGTACTAATGATTCAATTGAAAATATTGAATTATTATACCATGCAATTATCATTAGATGTTGTATATGAAAGGTCATAACCAAACTCATAAACTGCTTCTTCTGTATAAAATTTTATATATTCGTCCAGAATTTGATGATACCGATCGCATTTGCATATCAAACATACTAACAGCATCAATATATGATGCAGGATAAATTGTGAGTAATAAACGTCCACCAAGGCTATCTTATATTGAGCGAACATGACATATGTAATGCGAAAATGACAATTTGGAAATCACTCATAACAAAAAGGCTATGTTGAAAAAGAAAAACGACGTGAAAAAAAGGCTGAGTTGATGATGAATATTTCGAAACGATAGGAAAAAATGAATCGATAATGAATTCCAAAACTTGAGTTTAAAACTTGCAATATTTCAAATAATTTATAAAATTCATTAGATAAAAATAGAGAACATCAATGATTAATAAATAAGTTTATGCTGATCTATCTAAATTATTGAAAATACAATTTTCTATTGAGGCTATAATACAAATCGCACCACATCATAACTTTTTATATTAGGAACAACTGTCTCGTCATGAGATTTAATGCATCATTGTTATTAACATTCACAATTATCGTCGCAAGCATATTATCTTTTCTCTTGTTTTTTAAGAGTCAACATTTCAAGATGACACAGTTCCCTTTCGTTGGCCATCTTAATATTCTGACAAGATCCAGTTCATTCTTCTAAAGTGATGTTTGATGGATCAAAATTCATCAAATCATCTTTAACATTTGTCTATGTTGCTAGAGAATTCAAAAATCATTGATTCTTTAATGGTTAAAACAACATCTTTTAATTCGATGATAAATCATAACATTTGAATAAATGTCAGAATATGCAAAACAGAATTCTGTGATAGAATGTGATGGAAAATGATTCTTTTGTGGAATTCAAATATATTTTCGAAGCAAATACAGTGCGTAGAAATTGATAACAAAGTTTTTTCGACCTTCTTCGTAGGTCCTAGCAACTAGAGGGAAAGCCAAAGATTATTGGATAGTTTTTCGTAAGTTTAGGCAAAACTCAACAGTATATGCCATAGTTCGTCGAGAAAAGCGATGGTATGCTTAAAAACGTATTGAACAAACAAATCAATATGTATAGCAAGGCTAATATAATGGTGACACCAACGAAATGAAGAATAAGATTTTATTTATTGCTTCCTATGACATTTGTTGTATTTATTATTAGTAGGAGAAAATAAGTTATGCATTAAAGATACAGTTAACAATGTATGAAATACAAATATTTTCAGAATCATAACATGTCAAAGCAAACGTATCAACCATAACATTATGTATCATTTGGATTTATCTATCGATTTGATATTTCTTTTTAACAAATTAGTTTAACTCTCTGATGATATATACCATAAATTTATATCAGTCAGAATTTGTTAATTTCACACTTTGGCCACTCATGGAGCCTCGTTTGCAAATTTGTATTTCTACTTTTCAAGAAACTAATCATCCAGAATGTATAACCGATCGAAAATATGTTAGACATTCATCATGTCCAAATAATGTTATGGATTGTCTTAATCGATTTGGTAAATAATCTTTTAATTTATCTATTGTCTCATCACCCAAATTTTTCAATGCACTTCTTAATTTTTGTAAACACAATTTTGATAAAAGTGATGGATTTTTCAAATCAATAAATTTTTCTACTAATTTCATTGTTTGTTCAGGTAGCCGAGACTTGAATTCTTCAAATTTTGTTCGAAACTCACTAGGATAACCACATTGAATTATCCGACATATATATAAATTCATTCTTGAAGTTTGCTGAGTTGACCATGTTTGAAATGGTATATGAATATACAACGAATAATTAAGTAGCATAAATGGAATCATGGAATGACCATGTAAAAGTAGATTAGTAATAATACAATTCATACCACTCATATTGTCTATACGAGCACCTTGTTTTAAAAGAAATTCAATTGTATATTCGATAGATGAATCATTATTTCTTTGATTGAATAATACAGAAGTAAGAACAGAATTTAGATTATGATTATGAACTAATCGTTTGAGATAATTCATATAATTTCGTATAGAATGTGGAGGAAAATATTGAAAAAATTCATCAAGTTTAAATTCAATTGAAGAATCATTTTCTAATAAAAAATTAAATAAAATAATTCGAAGTGAAAGACAATATTGTGAAGTTAAAATCAGTTTAATTGGTGTATCACATCTATTTCCTAATTTATAAAGCAGTGAAAATTTTGAAAGAACAGCTGATGCATTTGGACATTGATTAATAAGTTTTTCATTTATATTTAAAATGTCATCAGGTAAAATTTCGAATGGGTTTCCTATAAATTCATGTTGACATTGGCCACATAATAAATGCATTAAATACGAACGATTCCATTTATCACATTGAAGTAACACCGATTGATCATTAATATTTGATAAATAATTGTCAATAAGTATTTGACATTTATTATTCGAATATAAATGCAAAAATAGCATTAATGGTGTAATATTATTATTTCCATAACATGTAAATAATAAATTAATATTTTTTTTAATATTTAATAAATATTCCAGAATTACTTCATCACCAATAATATAATGTTCAAAAATAATTATTAATATCCATAAAAGATATTCAGAATCATAGGGAAGATTTTTTTCAATTAAAATTGATAAACATTGAATTAATTGATTCGTATTTGAACACGTATGAATTAATTGAACAAGTTCATATGTTGGTAAAGAAATTTTTAAAGATTGAATTGGTAAATGTAAAATTTTTTCACATAAATCAAAATTTTTATTAAGTATTGTACGTGATAGTTTATTAGTAATTATTGTTGATAATTCATTGGATGTTAATCGTGATTTTTTAGAAATTAATTCAAATAAATTTGACATATAATGTTCATCAAGTATTGTTGGTAATAATCGAAAAAATCCATCGATACATAATGTTTGATCATGTTTTTTGCGTAAACATAATGAAAATTCATCAATCTGTTTATGAACAATTAATGATTCAATAAAATCTTGACGAGATATTGTTGATGATGGTGAATTATTCTTATGATGGAACCAGGAGAATAATCGATTCATTATTAATTATAAAAGAAAATGCTTACCTTTGCTTTCATTTATACTGAAATATTTTGTTTTGATTGAGCAATAACATTTTCTGACACGTCAACACATTGACGTGGTGTGTAAGGTGAATCATCGAGATACAAAAAAAACCTATACGGATTTTTAAGCTATCGGATGTTTGCAGTTTTCAGTTATTTTTTTTCTAAGACAATTGTTAGTCTGTTGTGAGGTTGTGATGTGAATGTGGATAAATAGAATATATACTTAAACTCACATCCTCAATTTCCATTTCGCTCAACGGACTTTCTTAAATACGTTTGGAATTTCTCAACTAGTAGTAAAAGAGGAGAGAAAATCGAAGAAAAAGGTCTTTCTACATGAAAATGCACAAGTGTCTTCAATTAAGGATTTCAATTGAATGGGCATGCAAAGAGAGAGAAAGAAATACGAAACATATATTATTCAATAGTATGTTTCAGAATGTGCAAAATGATTTTTTTTATATAATTTTTCTTTTCTTTGATACTAAGCAAATTTCGTTTTCTTAGCACATCTCCATATAAAATGCAATTTTTTGCTATGTAAGCTTTATAAACTCAGCAACCATATAAGCGGGATAGCTGAAATTTTTTGAGTATGTGGGACATTTAGAGACTAGTAACATGTAAAAAAATTTCTCAATACCAGTTAATGGGAAGAAAAATTATTAGCGAAATACAACTCAAATCTCAAGTGTATGAAAAAAGTTGCAATTCACTCATATAGACACGTATGAGTGAAATGCATATCCACGGTACTGTTGTATCCTGAAAAGAAGAATGTCTATGAGTTGAGTTCTATTCAACCAATCTTGATAATTTTTTTTTTGTTTTACTGCTCTAAAAATGCTCATTCGTTTTTCAAAAAGGAAAATCATTACTCAATTCGGTTCCGGTGTCCGCTTCTAACATAGCTTCTCAAAAGTCAACAAATATCTTTTATACCCTCATTGATGGAGAAAAGAGATCTGGATGGCAGCAAAGATCACATATGATATGTGAAGGAGAGTTCTTGACTATTTCAAAGCATCGAAGTAAAGCGTTAACAAGTGTAATAGGACTAACTCTATTAACATCCACTATCGAAGCTCTTCTAGAACAGGTCTTCATATAAGAAAAAACAAATCTTTCGAGAAGATCGATCTTATCAACTACCAACCCTTGTTTATGTTGATGACATCTTCATAATGGTAGTAGATTCGATTGTTTATATCTCTCTTCTATATTTATTCTCAAGTACGTATCTGATTCGTTATTCAGTGGCCTTAATCAAACTTAAAACCTTTTTTGACTTCTTTTTGCATCTTATTTTGCAAGATACCTTTCGTTTATCGCATATTGTTCACTTTTGGATTGTTCTTTTTGACTTCATCATATGCACTAGTACTTAAGAATGAAGATGAAAATACATAGAAATTTCATGTTTTATTGCAAGTTTTCAACACAAACATGTATCATCATCATCAGACGATTATGACAATTTTTACGAAATTTTAAGAAATATATTAATGTTTATGAGTCATCAAGTTTTTCATTTACAGTTCTTTGGACTAACCATAATTTTACGACCCATTCAAAAGATATTATTATCGAATAAAATTGCATTCAAAGCTCAACGTGAAATTTTTTGTCAGGAGTGTTTATTTTATTTCACGTTTTTGTTCATTAGAATCATATCCTAATGTATTTGGTTCATTGAAGTTAAAATTGTGGTTCATTTTTACAGAATGTTTTACAATAGTTGATGATTGACCATTGTTTAATTGATATTTTTCTTTATATTGTGGGTGGGTGTAGATGGAAAGAAGATTCACATCCACACGTACACCCATATCTACGCTTGCCCATACACCTTCAAATCACAGATCAATCAGCTGAGATATCCTGAAGCAAGTAGATGGAGACAGCGGAAGTGAAAATTACTTCTTTTTTCTACGACTGCATATTTCGCAAAGCCTAATAGTGAACAAGAAACAGGGATATATAAACGTGTCGTATCTATTCTGTTCTGTTCTGAAGGAACATGGCGCATTACTTTTTCCTACCAATGACTCATATTTTTTCTTTCCTCTGATGTGCGTCTCTTTCCAATATTACTCACGAAAGAAAATTCTTTTCATCATGGGTAAAGGTATTTTCCCTTACGAGCGTTTAGAGTTATTACAATAGATTTTGGAATAAGCCCAGCAAGAAATCGTCGCTCTATTTAACCATCTTAATATATAATGATTGAATGCAGTATACTATCTTTCGATAACCAACTTTTAGTGACTGAAACGTTTTTCTATTCAATAAAACAATATCCAAGTAAGTCTCAGACACATTCTGTTCAATTTTGAAGACCACATTACATACAACATCTTTTTTTTGAGAGAAACTATCGAACAAAATTTTTTTTCACGGCATGTTTATCGATTTAATCGAATTTCGCCTACCAATTTCATGCATTTGAAAAAGTATACTTTCAAACAGAAATCTTGTCAACCCCTATATTAAGTATTTCCTCATACTGTCCGAAAAAATATCGAATGAGAAGTTTCGAAAAGCTCTTGACCAAAGAACTCTCAAGAAACACTTTTACCGACAATAAATATTTGAAAGATTTATCTTCAATAGAGGTGTTTATACTTAATCTTTGAATATGAGATTCAATTATTGAACATCGATGTACGAATGTTATTTTCAATTTATTTCAGGTTATTATAATTTTAACTAGTTTTTTCTGGAATGACAGCGGCTCTGATCAATATAACCAATACGGGTTTTGACATCTCTGCATATGCAAGTTCTGCATTACTATGTTCGATTACTGCTAGTGATAAACTTCGTGCAGTGCGTGAAAAATGCGCTCGATTAAAAAAATGTGGCATTCACACAACGAATGCTCTTAGCGCAGCAGGTTTTTCTTATACAAATCAAGGTGATACTGTACGCTGTGAAACTTGTGGACTCGAAGTATCGAACTGGGATGCCAGCATGATTCCATTTATAATTCATGCTCAACGCAGTCCATCCTGTCAATTTGTTCGTTCATTTCAAGTGGCACAGAATTGTATCAAACAATCAGTTCACCAAAGAAATGAATCAAAGTATTCTCGTAAAAAAATCATGTTTGAAAACGATATTGTTACACAAGTTCGTGCTCGAACATTCTCCAATTGGCCACATCAAACATCACCTTCTCGTGCACAAATGATTGAAGCTGGTTTTTATCGATGCAATGTACTCGATCGAGTCATTTGTTTACATTGCGATTTGATTTGTCAACAATGGATACCACTCATTGATGATCCAATTGAAGTACATCGAACACTATCACCGAAATGTCCTTTTGTGATAGGAATGCTGACAAAAACTGAAGAGGTATCCATATCACCACCGTCGATTATCAATGAATCACCGACAAACAGCACTAATCGACATTCTTCGAACCTGAATAATATTGAATCGTTACGCGTTGGTAACATTGCTAGTGCTTCTCCCCATCACAGCGCCTATGCTGAGTTACCAAAACGTGAAGCATCGTTTGCGACCTGGTCTAAGGAAGGAGTACCCACCATAGATAATCTTGTTCGAGCTGGTTTCTTCTACAGTGAAATAGGCAATGCCGTGACATGTTTCTATTGTAACGGTTCCTTACATGAGTGGAGTCCAGAAGATGATCCAGTTATAAGACATGCTCATTGCTTCCCCGATTGTGCTTATATTAAACAACTTTGTGGTGATGACACTTTTCGTAAAATTCAAGAAGCGAAGCAACTCGAGAAACGTAAGTTGTGATGAATCTGTCAGCGAAGGAAAATATCGATATGATTCTAATGTTCACTTGTTTCTAGAACGTGAAATAATAAACAAAGGAAATACACAGACTATGACAATGCCAAAGAACATCTTCGACGAGCATACATGTGAACGTATGGTCGCTGCACGTCTCGATTTGCCCGTATCACAAAAATTACTCAGCGAAAAATTTTCGTTGTCGATCATTCGACGTTGTTGGGAAGATCAACTTCGACTGCAAGGTATAATTTCGTTTATCAATCGATCTTGCATACATCATTTTTTATTTTAATTTAGGTGATGATTTTGTCAGCGATAATGATTTAAAAATTGCTTGTACTATTCTGCAAAAGCAGATCGAATGTATCAATGGAAATAAAGAAAACATAATCGTACCAAGCATAGAAATGGCAAAACGTCGCGACGCAAATAACAACAGTAAGTATTATTAATCGAATCGCATTAGTTTTTTTAAATTTGATTATTAATTTTTGTTCTAGATGCAATGGAAACTGATTCATCATCTCTGATCAATACAACGAATGGTTCCGTTTTTCAACCATCATCATCATCAAACCAAACGTCAACAAAAGCCAATGAAATGAATACAGAAAGTAGCGAATCACCGTCGAATCCATGCGCACTCTGCTTGACAGAAGAGAGAAAACTTGCTTGTATACCATGTGGTCATTTGGCAACATGTGTACCCTGTGGTCATTCGCTACGAACATGTCCTTTGTGTCGGCAAACAATCAAAGCTTATCTGCGAATTTATGTCTAATCACAATTTTGAATAAAGTCCTATTTTCGATACATACTATGTCGTCTGTACGTCAGATGTACATCTGTTTTTTTGTATAGTTCCTGTCTAACGTTTTAATATGATTTGGTTTGCCTTGTAAAAAGTTTGCTTGACTAACTTCAACGTCACACTTGGGATTCTTTTATCTACTTTCGTCAATGTAATTGTAATTTTGAGAATGTACATGTGATAGGTAGCTGTGTGCATATAAGTGTGAGTAAGCGTGCATCTTCACACTATTCGCAGATACCTAATGATCATTACCGACGGCGGCAACTATACCCATCACCATATCCACACACTCTCAGACATACGCACATCTTCAAGAAGACTTGTTTCACTTATATTCTACCTAGGGTAGCCGAATGCAACCCACTTTTGTTCTGAAGTAGAAGAGTAGATGACTCAATGATAACTAGTAGTATGAGTTTATCATATTGGATCGAATTTTAAGTACTATAATGTTAGCATTTCGTCTTCGCATATGATGGTCGAACCAAATGACACATCTCAATATCTTAGCTTTGGTAGTAGTTGATTGAAATTTGAGATTTGTTACTGGTGGTTTCTATATTGCTTGCTGGATTTCTTGATTGAAGTTCAAAATGATGCTATTTAGTGTATTGCTTTCCTCCTATGTTGCTGATAATCGAAGAATATTTTGATGTTGAGGTGAATCATAATGATTATTTATATTTCGTATCGATTGAGACACTCATCATATGGTTTTGGCTTCGTCATATTTGTTCAAATGATTTAACAATCTCAACACAATACAATGATCACTACATATATATATATTAGATGCATTATTGAACAGAGAGGTATTATTATTTTCTTTGAAAAACTCGTGGCTACTATGATGTAATTTTGCTCGTGAAGATCGAAAGAGAGTTTCAGAATCAATATTAAGAAAACCTAATTCAATGATTTTTTTCAAATTGATCGACATTATATCAAAGTTTAAGATATTTATCGAAATTCTGAAGATTTATTTTTCAATTTTCTTGCAATTAGAAATAATATTTAGTAACATGATTCGAATCCATGCATAGTTAAAAAATAGCATTTTAATTCGAATTCTATCTGAAGACAAACTTCAAGCAATACGACATCGTAAATAACTTGATAAATACGAAAGATTAAGTTAGACTGCAACATGTAAATAATAATCAACATGTTCTGACAACTATTACTCAATTCTTGAACACCAATCAATTATATGATTGATGAAATCTATCATGTGCTCTTATTTTCGTACATTAAATTAGAACCATCAATAGTATATTTAATCGACTTGATATCAAATTTTGTAAGGATTGTTTAAAAAGTCTTAATTGACTCACCAATTTATGGACTAAATGCAGTTAATATTCGTATTTTAAATCATCTAAGTATTCGTAACATTGCCACCAAAGATATATGTCAGTGTGCTTATAAAGACGAATATGGATCGTCGCTCTTTGATTAGTACTAAGCGGTGCGACACTAGTTCGAATAAAAAAAAAGATATGTTGAATGTGGGCAAAATTATTTGTAAAAGATGATGATAAATTTTGAAAAATTGCTTTATATAATTGTAGTCGTTTATACTGATCATTTCAACCATGTCATCGTTCATTTTGATTCAGTATCAACAAAAAAAAGAAAGATCAAAACAAAAATTTCAACTTTCTGGCCACATTTCATAGGATGATACATTTAAATAATAAGATTTATACAAATTTTGATGCATACTGATGGAGAATTCTTAATTTAGTAGCTCAAGTTTTGACTGTACACTATAAAAAGTTCGTTTCCTAGAAAATTCAAATCCATTCTGAAACCCTCAGTGATTTCAAAGTAGGCTTTAGGTCTCCTGTAGCATGTTCACAAATGCCTCTTGGTTGCCGAAGCGTTGTAAACTGATAAATTTTCGAAAATATCGACTTGAACATTTGAAAAGTATTATTCGATATTCTTCCGGTACTGACGACATCTGATTTATATTTTCGGTCACCTTAAATGTATCTTCGGAAACCAAGATTGCTCAAAAAATCGGTTTGAATGCAAAAGCAATTACCAGAGATATTCTTTTCGATTTCAGAAGTAATTTATCGAGAACACAAAGAGTTCATGAACTTTTCGGTTTTCCAATAGGTATAATGCGAAATCATAATCGTTTTTTTTGAACAGCTTTTGAAACTTTTGATGGTTTCCACGATTGTAATAATGTCCAAAACGGTTGCTACAAAAGATTTGATAATTAACTTTGATCCAAAGTTGTTAAGATCGACTACTCCAAATTTATAATTGTTTTACCGTAAAACATTAGACACGAAAATTTTCAGACACATTCTTAAGAATCACATTCCTCGAATCGACAAATTTTGAACAAACTTCTTTATTAAAAAAAAGAAATAAGTTGTTTTCGTAAAACCGAATTTCCCTTGCAAACTCATTATTAAGTACTTCACAAAAAGAGTTTTGATAAAATTGTTTCTATACCCATTTTCGAGTTCGGTGGCATGAAAAAAAGTGAGAATTTTAACTTGAAAAGTTCAAGTTCAGTCTCGGGCAACAAAATAAGTAAAATCTCAAACTAAAAAGTACTATAGAAGTGTCAATAATAAAAAAATACTTTTTACTTAGAAGTATATTTATAGCCGCTTAAAAAATTTCACTTATTAGTACTTTTTTTCGTATACATATTTTGTTGCTTCACGAATTTCACATGTATGATTTAGGGTTTCCGATATTGTCACTGTCCGAAAATCTATAAGGATTTTGAGGAATATTTTTTTTTTGTAATCGCGTATGCACAAATTGCTCTTTTCTTCTTCTTGTAAGTATGATTGATTGGAAGATGAAAAGAATAGCTAAGTATTATTTTATGGGCAATTTTTAAGTTGTTTTTGTTTTTCTACATGTAGCAAAAACAACAACAAAAAAAATTCTTTTCTATTTTATAGAATAAAAAAAGCTCTCAATTTAAAAATACAAGTTAACTTATCGATTTTACTGTAGTTTTGTTTTCCTCTACAGCTAATTCATATATTTTATGTTTACTTGGTTGTTTCCTCTTCTTCTTTATTCAATCATAATCAAAGTTAAGTAAATTATTGAATTCGAATTTCACATCTCTATTATTTCTTGTGGTAAATACCATTGTGGTTTTTTCCTTCAGGAATTTTATGTACCTGACATTCATTTGTGCAAAATGTCATAGAACTTTAAAAAGAACATTAGTTTGAAAACTATTTATGTAAAAAGATTTTGTGTGGAGCAAAAATACATTTGTTTCAATTGATCAGACATTGCTTTAAAAATTTACTCACACGAGAAATAACGACGTAGGAAAAAAATGTTTGCTACTGACAACGAAAATGCTAAAACTTCCAGTTAAGAAAATATTTATCTGCAAAAAATTTATGAATGAATAACTTCTTTCTCCACTTAAAGATATTGGTGGATGAAAGAAAATCAACACTCACATCTGTTCCCACATTTACAAAGTGCAAGATCGTCTACTAAAGCAACCTCAGATTTCGACAATTAAGTTTCAATGAACGTAAGAACGACAAACGATTTCACTCAGAGTCAATCTTGTCCTGTGAAAGGTTTTCATGATTTCTCCTGTTCACAACAGCTGACTGGAGACTAGCTCACCATTTTTAATTATCTTGAGTAAAAGATACAGGCCAAATCATCAAAATTGCGTTTTACAGAACTTACTGAAAATGAACGAAAATTCATATTAAAGATTCAAAAGCTAGCAGCTCGCCGTTGTTTAGATCGCCGCGACTCAAAATAAAGATTTTGTTACAGCGTATAAACACGCCAAGTATGTAGGGCGAATGCGTACCTGACTGAACGCATAAACATTTCATTTATAAAAATTATAACGATTTCTATGATATTAGAATTCATGCTCGTTCACATATTTATTGTTTAAATAATGTTCTTCTAGCACACGCAACTTAAATAACGACGTTAATTTTTTATTGTTCTGTTTTTATGCTTTGATTGCTCGTTAGTGAAACATACGACGAATCAGCTGATATGCTTTCTGTACTGCAACAATCCAATGTGTTGTGCAATAAGTAATGATCGATGAATTGTATGTTAAAATAAATTTCGCGTTTAATATATAATCATGATACATTGAATGTGTAAAAATGATTTTACTATAATGTTTTCTGTCTGTTAACTATTTTTATATTAATGAGAAGAGTAGTCGTCTATCAGTTCAATTGATCTACTATATACTTCAGCTCATTATTGAATAATTTTCTGAACATTAAAACATAAAAATCTTTTTTTTTTTCTATTCGAAAGACAAAATATATCTTTTACTTAAGTATTTTATAATTAAATTTCACAGAGAAAACATCGATGCAGAAAAATTATATTTAATTAAAGAATAGTTTAACTTTTGAATAGATTTCAAATATGTTCACCGCGGTATCTGTATATTACAAAAAATTAAAAGTTCTTTTAAAGTAGTTTACATCGTGTGTCGAGAAAAGACAAGCATATTGATTCATGTATAGCTGATTTCATCAACAGCGATACAAAGAAAAGCTGCTGGTAAGGTATTGATATTTTTCAGCCCTCTATGATATTTATAAATCGTAGCAAGTGGGTGAAAAAAAAGCAGATACTAACGCCGTTTATCTTCTCATATTTTACATTACAACTATATAAGAACAACTGTTTTACTGATTACTACTCATAGTAATAGTACTGTGTACATATAATATCTATAGTAGTGACGTTTCTAAGCATCCAGTTCACAATATTGATAATAAATGAAACGATCACGCTACTTCGCTATTTTATGAGTTTTTTTCGAATTGGATAACTGAGACGTTGTCGTGCATTAAGCGAGGTTTAGTAAAAATCCAACAACTGAAGGTTATGAATGCTTACACCATGATTTGCATTCATGTATTTGTTAGGATATTGCCTAATTTCAATTTATAAGAAAATAAGACATG